GATTAGAGGATTAAACGAATTTATCAAGAATTTGCACGAATTTTAGTGGATTTTAGTGGAAAAATCGATCTGTGTTCATAGTGTTCTTCATATGTTCTTCGTTCCAGAATCTGATTTTAGGCTTAAATCGTTTGAATTTTGGTTGTTAATTGATAAATCTTACATCGCTAGATTCGCATTTTGATTTAGAACAAATTAGATTCACATTGTTTTTGATTTTAAACAAGTTTTGAACCTGATTTGATCGAATTTTGAGTTTTCGAAAACTGTTAAGTGTTCTTCAAAATTCATAATTTGTCATGTTTTGATCCAAATTTTTGGTGAAAAAATGTGAAATTTGTGTTTTTGCTTGAATATTAGTCCGATTAACTCTTGATCGATTTAGGTTAATATCGCTTAAAGCTTGTACGATTTAGTACTTGCAATATTTGTGTGAATTGAGTTTGATCGGATTAAGCTAAACCGGGTAACTCTTGATCGGATTAAGAGGTAAATCGTTCAACTCTTGTGCGATTTAGTGAGCGATTTAGGTAATCCACTTGGTAAGTCATTTGTATCTTTGTGCGATTTATATTGTAAAGTGTGCGATTTATTTGAAGTTCGGTTATAGCCTGAGCGAATTGGTGAGCGATTTAAGTGTAAGGTTGAGCGGTTTAATCTGCGATTTATATTGATTTGTTGAATGTTTTGATTGATCGTACTTTGACTGTTTGACCGTATTTTGACTTTGATTCTTTGAACGGACTCGTGAACGGATTTTGACTTTGTGTTGTGATCGATTTAAATCTTTGACTTNTTTTTAAATGTAAGTATTTTTGTGTAAATATAAGTATTTTTGTGTAAATATAAGTATTTTTGTGTAAATATAAGTATTTTTTAGGTATATTTGTTTCATTTTATAGATTTAAGAAATTTTTTTCAAAAAATGTTTAGGGATTTAATCGTTTAAAATATGAAAGTCTATTGGCCCCCCTTTTTCAGACTTTTTCCATCATTTTTTCATATTAACTAGTTGTATATGTCATAAGAATGCATCTAACAGGTTTTAGAAAGTCGAATAAGTTATTTAACATGTTTTGAAATGTCCAATAACTTATTTGTTTGAAAAAATTGTATAATAACTTAATCATTTTAAACACTAAAGTCTATTGAGTTTTTTTAGACTTATTTTAAAAAACCAAAGAGACGGTTATAATTTTTTTTTATAAAACCAATTCTGAAAATATTAGATCAACACATTAAAATTTGAAAGAATATATACGTATTATTTATCTTGGTTTTTTCTTCTTCTTAAATTTTAATTATAGGTCTATGAATCGTAATCAATTTAGGGGCCGTTTACTAAACATTTATCTGGGTAGGTATTTGTCGGTAAAATTTAATAATATCATTTACTTACCGGGTAAGATTTTAATCCACCAAAATGGTATCAAATACAACAATTTACCTGGTAAATGCTAACCGTGATAAGAGTCATCGTTCTCACTTACCGGGTAAGACTCCCGGTACTTGTCTTTGCTCTTACCGGGTAAATTTTTTGGTATTTATCATATTTATCCGGTAAGGTAATGTTACTTGATAAAATGAACGGACCCATATTTTTTTTTTCAAAAGGTGACACCATTTCACTATAAGAATGAACTATACGGGAAAAATTTCAAACAGTGGCACCGTTTGACTATAAGAAACAAATATATATAATTTTTTTCAATCGATGGCACCATTTGACTAAAAAAATAACACTAACACGATTCGAATTCGGATCTGAAGTGGAATAAAAGCCTTACAAACCAACTCTATCAAATAAAACTTTTTCTCATTGTAGTTTCAAAATACATACGGTGACACAAAATAGATTAATACAGTTGTACCTTTTACGAACCTAATTTTTTTTTATCCTTCGACAGATAAATAATACGATGGCACATGCCATCGTAACCACCAAAGTAGGTTCGTCCCTGCTTGATAAAGGCGTACACGGGTAAACGTTTGGTAAACGACCCTCTTACACTTATATGATTGCTTACATAAAATCAATTAGGTTTTCTTTATGATGGAAATTGACAATTTAATATTTTCTTAAAATATATTATATATAGTTTTATAAATATATTTAAGTACAAACGATCAAAAAATTAAAATGTATGCACAAAAATGAACGTTAATAAACTGTATACGACATTATCTGAAATTGTTTGTTTTGAACAGTTTCTGAAATCGTTTTTGTTTCTTTTAAGTATCATTTTTTTACCAATTTAATTAATATTTAGTTTTGTCGTATTTTAAGATATTTCATAGTCACACCCTTAAATCTACGGGGTTGTTTGGCAGTTGCTGAATAGTTTGGTGTACAATGATTAAGTGGTCAGAATAATTGAAAGGTTTTCATGATATAGTGTAAAATGAAATATATTTGTTTACGATAAAATCAGGGCGCTTAATGGTTAAGGGAGGCTCGGAATACAAAATAATTCAGAGGGTTTTAGAACCATTAAGAGACAAACTTTTTTTTTTTGTCAAACAAGATTCACCTCTTAATGATTTAGATGTTGCCTCTTAATGAAACTATTAAGAGGTAAACAAACAACCCATACGTTAAAAGCATGACTTTTAATTAGTGAACTCTTAATAGGAAACGATTTAACTTCAAACACATAACTGTGGCTAGTCTTGTGATGAGACAAACTCCAAGTCGTTTAGCATCACAAATATGAGCGGTTTTTGGCGCATGTCGTTTCATACAGATGTGCTTGTCAACTATTGGGATTAAGGAGTTGAGTTTTGGTGCTTGTCGCTTCCCGGCTTGGACACATAGACGGAAAATTGATGCACTTTTTGGATTTGTTTTAGCTTTCGAATTCAAGTGATGATAGTTGATATATCTACAGTTTTGCCACCACCTGTTAATTTCTGTCACGGTTTGTATTTGTGTTTTGATCATTGTTGTTGGTGTTCGATGTCAAATTTTTAGTACTGGTTTTTTGAGTCTTGTTCTATGGTACTTTGTGGTGATGCACAAAAAAGCCCGGCATCAAAAAAGACCGGGCCTAGTAAGCCTGAGCCCAAGCTAGGCCTTGAGGTTTGATCGGGCTAAATTTTCTTCAAGGCCCGATTAAAGCCTGGTCCAAAAGATTCCAATCGGGTCTATTTTCACACATAAAGCACGACCCATGCCTAAGTCTTTGTTTTTTTTTATCGTGTGTATATATATATATATATATGGGAAAAGTACAATAAAAACCAATTGACTTTCTTGTTTGGAATGATTAAGTCCTTAGACTTTTTTTTGGAACAAATAAGTCATTGGACATTTCAAAACATGTTAAATAAGTCCTTGGACAATTTTTTGGAACAAATAAGTCCTTGGACATTCCAAAATATGTTTAATAAGTCCTTGGACAATTTTTGGAACAAATAAGTCCTTGGACTTTCCAAAAA